CAACCAGGTTTTTGAATATACAAGTTTGGAGCTCAAAACAGAGGTCTAGACTGGAGCTTCTGTTTGCTATGCCTCAAACAAATCCCGCATTCCAGGCTCGCAGAGCTACACAGAGGTCCCCAATGTCTTCCCCAAGGCTTTATGCATGCATATCTCTGTTTAGAATGTTCTTACTCCCGTCTTTTTCCACTTGGTCAAAAAAAATCTCAGGGCTCATGACATGTCACGGATCATCTGTTTTATGAAACTCACATGATTATCAATCTCCTGAATCACCCTGTTTCCTTGGGTCACTTAAGTAACTGAAATATGTAATGGCTGGTCTCTTAGCACACTCAAAAGACTAAACAATTTTTGTATCTTTTTTTTTTTTAAAGATTTTATTTATTTATTTGAGAGAGAGAGAATGAGAGCCAGAGAGCACGAGAGGGAAGAGGGTCAGAGGGAGAAGCAGACTCCCTGCTGAGCAGGGAGCCCGATGTGGGACTCGATCCCGGGACTCCAGGATCATGACCTGAGCTGAAGGCAGTTGCTTAACCAACTGAGCCACCCAGGCGCCCACAATTTTTGTATCTTTTGGTAAGAAAAGAAAGCAGCCATTTCATTAACACAACAGGCAACTTGCCTAATCTCATCATCAGAAATCTTTAGAAACCTTTAAAGAAAATTAGGACCACAGAAAAAGATCTTGGCAAGCAGCTCAATAACCAGATTTTGCATTTTGCAATTTCAGTGGTTATTTGAAGAAGGTAAGTCTTCAAAAACACACATTGTCTGATCAACTTTATAGGCTAAACACAAAGAGAGAAACACTTCCTGCCTGTGTTCCAAAGTTATTTTCAGTTATAAAAAATTTTCATTTTGATTATCATCCTTTTCCTTGCCCTGGGAAGCCATTTAAATGAAAAGAATTACTGGACAAGAAAACAGTCTTTTTGTTTCCTTCCTGAGAGACACACTCTAATCTAACTGAGAAAGGAGGGAAATTAAAAAGATGATGTGACATTAGAGAGGATCCAGCTCAAGCAGCCACCTTTTTTTTTTTTTTTAAGATCTATTTATTTATTTTGGAGGGGGAGCACGTGCGCATGCATGGCGGGGGAACAGGGGCAGAGAGAAAGGGAGAGAGACTCTTTAAGCAGACTCCATGCTGAGTGGGGATCCTGACGTGGAGCTCGATTGCACGACCCTGAGATTACCACCTGAGCGGAAACCGAGAGCTGGATGCTTAACTAATTGTACCACCCAGGTGCCTCTCCAGCAGTCACTTCTATCTGTGAGAACACTGATATCCAGGCAGCCTACTGCTACCACCTGAACAGTGTATTCCCCATTATGAGCCCTGTATAGCTATAATGTAAGTTCCATGAAGGCAGAGAGTTCTGCCTGTTTTGTTCACTACTCTTTCACACAGTTAAGTGCTGAGTGAATGAACAAACTTATAATTCTGAAGTACATAGGGTTGAAATACATTCAGTATAAAGTATAAAACAAAGGGTGCCTGGCTGGCTCAGTCGATAGGGCACGTGACTCTTGATCATGGGGCTGTGAGTTCGAGCCCCACAGGTGGTGTAGAGTTTACTTAAAATAAAAAATTTTTTAAAAAGCCTTTCTTTAGGATTTAAAAAAAGTGCTCTTTTATTTAAAGTCATAAAATTTGGAGTATCAAGAATTTGCAATCATCAAATTAATTACAAAATGTTGACCATGTACAACAGTGGGGAAGGAGAGACCTTATGTGAAATCTCTAACAAAGTAGTAAGTTTATAAAAAGTTCTCTGTAAATCAAGAGAAAAGGATGATATTCTAGCAACTATACTTGCTTTATAATGTAGAGTATTTCAGAAATGTTCATTATGGGAAAATTACAGTCTTTAAAAATAAAATAGTACAAATACCTTATTACAGGTCTTTAAAAAAATCAAGATCTATAAAGATGATTAGAAAAAGAAGCATAAAAAGTTTGACTCCAGGTTATATTAAGAGAGTAGCTTCAAACATCCCAAATAAACAAGCCAGGTTCTGAAAGTTCCCTTGCCAAAGAAACTCTTACTTGGGTTTTTTTTTTCTTTATAATTGAAGTATAATTGACATATACCATTATATTAGTTTCAGGTATACAACATAATGATTTGAAATATATATACACTGCAAAATGATCACCGTAATAAGTCTAGTTAACATCTGTCACCATATTTACAAATTTTCTTCTTGTGATGAGAACTTTTACGATCTATTCTCTTAGCAACTTTCAAATATGCAAAACAGTAATATTAATTATAATCACCATGCTGTACGTTATATTTCCTGGCCTTATTTATAACTAGAAGTTTGTCCTTACTTAGTTTTAAAACAAAACAGCCTTTGAAGAAAACACTTTCAACATAACCACAGTTTTCATACAGTGAATAAACAATCTAATATATGCATTTCAATCCCCAAAAGGAATTATCAGGTATTATTTTCAAGTTAAAGAACACTAACCTCTTTAATCTCATGTAGTTTTCACTGGCAGCAGGTCGGCATTCAGCTCTTTGTACCACTATTCCTTCCAATGAAAGTTTATCTTGAATGGAAAAGAAAAAAAAATGTATTCAGAGATAACACTGATCATTTTCAAGAATTTACTTTGACATAGTAGCCACAGTAATAATGATTAGAATTAAATGTAATAATAAAAATCAAGGAAACTTGTAAGTTTATAGTAGCATCATTAGTCAGAATAGAGAAAAACCTTACTCTTGGCTAGTAAAAAAACTGAGCTTGTCAAGTTTGTTTACTGGGCTGCTGCAGCCCCTTGCCAATAACAACCTTTATATACGATCTCTTTCTAAAGAGGGTGGCCTAATAGGGCATAAAGTCAAATTTCAAAAATGTGAAGGGAGTGGAGACTACATATCTTTGGCAGAGAAGTAACTTCTGAAAACCCAGCTAGTCTAACCCACTAAAATCAAAGATAATATATATCTGTATGTGTGGGTGAGCGCATACACACATATGTATGCAAATAAAATTCTAGGATACACTGGGACTAGAATAGCTAGTCTAGAAAATACTATAAACTGGGCAGGTCATTGTCTAGGCTCTACTGTGTACCAGTTCTGCCTGCTAGTTGCTCTGACTTCTATTTTCCAGCAGATTTATTAACTTGGGTATGTCCAAATTAGAACTTTAACTGCTATGGATATTTGTCCAAACAGAAGGGCAATTTTTCCTACCATTAGTAAAAATTCTTATGGTGACCGTGACACAAAATTCAAGAGAAACCGAAAAGGTAAACAAAAGTTAGCACTTACTACATGACTACTAGGCACCAAACATTGTGGTAAAGTCACTTTACAGACCTTATTTTGATAGTACATATATTATCCCATGATGGCACCAGCTCTCCTACAGTCTGGAAATGTACAACTATGGTTAGGAAGCTATGGTTCAGTCTTAATTCCATGAGAATTCACCCAGGTTTTGAGAAGAGATTCAGGAAATCCTTTGGCTCATCAGCAATGCATTTAGGATTCATCTCTTCAGGGCAAACGACTTCATGCATTCCCCTAACATTAACTAAGTGCCTACTATGTAAAGGGCACCATTTAAGCGTTTGGAATCAAAGATGAGTAAGACATGGTACTCTTTTCAAGAAGCATACAGTTTGTCGGGGGGGGGGGGAGATACAGATAAACAGATAAATGGACCAAAATGTAGAGTGCAGATAGTACCACACCCACATGATTTATATTAGAAAATCTTCCTAATGGTGACTGTTCTTGATTTTGTCTCTAAAGTCCAGGAGACTCCTTACTGTAGCCCCTAACTCTGAATGCATGGGTAATCCAATAGTTGAAGAGTCCCTCAATGCAACATATGCAACTAATCTCAAGTACATGCTATCAGAGGTCTGGAAAAAGCAATGATGAGAAACATGCCTACCTTATACCAAAATGTCAGGAAGGAAACAAAGCCATAATTATTTTATATTAAATTTAAATGTCTAAAAATAATTTCCTCTTGTTAATGAATTTAGTAAGATTGAGATTAAAATTTGAATTTCCCAAATCTTATATTTGAGTTTGTCTTTCCACTGAAGCTGAAAGTTCTATCTAGAAAAATTGTCATAACAATAGCAAGATATGTATAAAGTATCTTAAATGCATGAGAAAAGTCCTCTTAATCCTTTTTAAAGAACTAAACATAGAATACCATACCATGCCTGAAAATAATTTACTTATATATCCAGGTGTTTCGCTGAATACTAAAAGAGCTATCTGTTAATACCATCTGTGAATGTTTCCCCACTTATTTAAAGCAGTATCTACTTCAGGAAGATAGGTTGAATTTAATTTTTAGTGAAAGGATTCTGCTGTCAATGTTCTCCATATAATACCTAAAAGAGTAAGAAGTTTCCAAAGCACCTGCCTATATCAACTTGGCCACTACTCTCATCACTATTCTTCAATCAAGGTCACTCTCACAAAGCAATAAAATTCACTTCTCCAAACCGTATTTCCTGTCCATGACAATCCCTTTTCAAACCTAAAATAGCTTTCCAATGCTTCTCAAGTGAAAGAAAAGTCTTAATCACCTGCAATCAATTTTCCCACTGATTGGCTGCTCTTAAATAACCCCACATCTCTGTTAGCTCATTCCCCTTCTCCTTTTAAATAAATTTTAGAAAGCCAATTTACCTATAATAAAGCCTCCTATTCAAGATTTAAAGCCTTCACACACTTTTTAAAGCCTCATCGGAAAATGTTTTCGTACTCTTTCCACTAATCATGCTTCTTTTCTTCTTCAAAACATTGCTTAAGAGTTCAGGGGAAAGGTATTAAAATACTGCATTATACCTTAAAGGCATCTGAAAGCACCCATTTGCACACCACTGCTGTTTATTACAGATCATATTCATTAATAGGGGAACTCTCACTTAAAAGCACTTTGTTGGCCCAGTTTAAAAGACCACAAATACTTGAAACACATCAGGAATAACAAAGATGAATAAAACATGGCTCCCATCCTTAAGGAGTACAGAGTATAGTGCAGCCATTCAAATGATTTCTGTGACAGAGATTCTTAAAAAGTACTGAGGGCCCCCACTGAGCTTTTATGTGGGTTCGTATCTCTTGCTATTTATCATATTAGGAAACTAAGAAATGTTTAGAAAATCAGAACTGAAAAAGGCAAAAAGTCTTGGTATTATTATGAATAATAGTTTTGATTTTATAGACCCCTTGAAAAGGTCTCAGGAATCCCTCTACCCAAGTGTCCAGATCACGTTTTGAGAGCTGCTGGCCTAGGAGGAAGCTATGACAGGTATATAAATCATTTTAATACACTAGAATCACTTTTAATAGACCTCTGCTTACCCCACTTCTAGATTACCAACGCTCTCGAGTCCCCTCTTTTAAATACAGTGACAGATGCCCATAGCTTGCCCATAGTGGGTAGTTAGGTTCATCTCTAGTACTCCCACACACTTCTGCTCTAACTATATTAGAACTTGTTTATGCTAGTTTCATTGTTAGTAATTATGCAATTCGATTATATATTATATAACTCCATTAATTATGAGTACCGGGGAAGGAGATGTTTCTATGAAAACCAGGCTTAATGCTTTGGCAAGACTTAATATAAAAGTAAGTTGCTAAAAAAAAACCTGTCAAAGTAGGTACTGGAAAGATAATAGGAGACTAGAAGAGAAACATAAAAGTCTAGAAGGATTCTGCATTCATGTTGTTTCCATGTCTAAATTCTTGCTCCTAAGAAGCCAAAATTGTAAATCTAGATTACGGGTTGCATATTCCCAAGAAAGAGAAAAGAGATGCTCAATCAGCATATTATACTGAAATCAAAGGCCTTATCCTACATGTACACTGGTAGCTAAACATACATCTTACCTCTTAAGGTAAAATGTTTAAGGCAGTAGGAATGCATATTAATATCATTTTATGATACTCTACTTTGAATCTACCTGACAGACTATGGTTCTTCCCTATGGGCTGTGGTACTCCACTGCATAAAGAAAAAATTTTTAAGGGTTATAAGGCAGACACAAAGGTGAGACAGAAGGACACTGAAGGTGGTGGGAACAACTTTTGTCTCCTCCCTCTTTCTCTGTGTGTGTTTATCCCTCTCTCTGAATTTCAAACTAAGGGACCCACACCAGAATTGGATTCTGGGAAATATTCCAGAATCTTTTCTAAATTTTCTCTCCCCTCCACCCCCGCCTTTTTTTTGCTAGATCCATTTACTTACTGGTTTCTGTTACTTGTAATCAAAAGAATCTTAATGAGTATGAACACACACCACTGGTAATAGTATTTTATTTATCTATACCCTACTGTCTACTTTCAGAAAAAAATTGAGAGAAAATTTTAAAGGGCAAGTATACAAAACACATACCATAAAAAAAGAGAAGAGTTTCTAGTTCCGATTCTGTCTCTAAATAGTGATAACATTTTGGCAAGTCTACTTCATATCTCTCAGCCTTGGCATCTACATAATGAAGTTACTGGGATATCTCAGATCTAGTTCCAATTCTCTTTCACTTAAAAATCTGGCCTTCTCTTCCAACTGGAGATGTTTTATCATTTCATTAGTGTTTACTTTGCACTTATGTTTTCTAAAAGACTTAGATATAATTAAATTTTCTTTGAAGAGAAATTAGAAACTGTTTCTGGGAACAACAACAACAAAATGTCGAGAAACTTCTGCTCTAAGCTAGACCTTCCTGCTCAACTGAGATAGACCATGTTGAAGAAGTCAAGAAAAATAACAGGCACTTTTTACAAGTTTAAGGGCATGCTTAGTTGAAACAAGTTATAGTAATAAACAAGCAGGGAGGGTGTTTATTAGCATTGGCATGTAATTAATGATAGCAGGTATGTTAGGCATCAGGAAATTATAGGCATTCATTTCCACAAGGCCAATCTGGATCCAGTTCAACGTGGAGGCCTTTAAGAACACTTCCAACTCCAGTTACAACACAGATAAGTGGGCTAGGACCAAGACTTTGGACTGTTCCTTATGACTTTTGAAGCTACTTGTGGTTCTCGTTTATATCACATCTGTGTCTATCATCTGGAAAATGCCTGAAGAAAAAATATTTCCACAGAGCAGGTGAATTTAAAAGGTAAACCATTTTTAATATTCCTACTAGTTTCCAATCTTTTCATTTAAAATCTTTTCATGTTAGTTTTTTGCCTGTGGCAAAAGGCCTATCAATATAAACTACCTGGCATCTTAACAAACCAGTTAGGCAAATTTGCAATCTCTTTATTATTAAGAAGGTGATCCTTATTCTATTCAAATTTGTGAACTGATTTTCTAATCTCCATTTAACCTTCAAAAATTTTAGGAATAAAAGATCATGTTCAGATTTCAGTAAGACTACAGGGTTACATGGTTATTTACCTCAAAAGTAACAAATGAGCAATCATATAAATATTCCCCAAAGTTATCTATGTAATATGTTTTCATATAATAATTCAAATTACAAATATGCCTAATACACTGGAAGTTCCCAATTCTTTTTTTTTTTTTAATTTTATTATGTTATGTTAGTCACCATAC